TCTTGGATCTTGCTGGACCATGTACCTCATTAATGTCCCGCGGGGATGAATTCCACAGGTAGATTATATGCTGCTTAAAAACAACAACAGCAACAACACAGTATTTCCTTTTATTTGTTTTAGATTTGTTGCCTTTTAAACTGTCACAGCTGGCTCTTGCTCTCGGGGAAAGGGACATTTGAAATCAAGGCATCTCCCCAATACTTCCTTCACTATGATGAAGACTTTTTTATGGTTGTGGGGCTTGAACTCAGGATCTGGGTGCTGCCCCGAGTTCTTCTGCTCATGGTTAGTGCTCTACCACTTTGAGCTATACTTCTGGTTTTCTAGTGGTTCATTGGAGGTAAGAGTCTCATGGGGACTTTTCTGCTGGGGCAGATCCTCAGATCTCAGCTTCAAGAGTAGCTAGGATGACAGGCGTGAGCCATCGGCGCCCGGCTGATAAAGACTCTTGTCTTCTGTATATATTGTCTATCTTGGCATTTTTTCATCTTAATTAAGAGGGGATTTAAACAAAATGGCTTTGAGCTGCCCTGGACACAAAGACACTGTAGTATACAAAAAAAAAAAAAAAAAAAGCTGCTCTTGATATTCAATGATGTCTCTGGGGTGAACATTTACTGATCATCTGAGTTCATGTTGGAGATACCGTTTGGGGGTAAATCTGATTTTCCAGAAAGGCAAAACAAGAGGAAAATAGTGAAATAAATATGGGAACCGTGTGGTGCGACATGGTATTAAATACAACCCGCCACGCACCTACCTGGGCTCTGCATCCTCAGACTCCACCCGACTCTACGTCTTGACGTTGTGTAACACAACAGCCATCTCCATGCCCTGACACTGCATTGAGTAACGACCTGACATCACAATTTGGAAATCATTTGAAGTGTTTGGGAGGAAGTGCATAGGTAATATGCAAATGCTGCACCTATCTTATCTTATCTGTCTGTCTATCTATCTGCCTATCTATCTACCTTGGGGAACTAGGCATCCTCAGAGTCTGGTTATCTATGGGCATCCTAAAACCTATCCCCCACAAATACTGAAGGCATATTAGGAGTGACTGGGAAAGGATGCTTTGAGTTACCTTAGACTGCACGGTTTGAATGTGGGACCAGATGAAAGGGACAAAACCCTGGTCAATATGTCACCCAAGTGACTCTTTAGTGGCTCACATAAAACCTCCAGGCCCAGTATGTGTTCCAGGCCCAGAGCAATGACCAGCGGTTGAGGGCATGGTCAAATTGAATCTAAGAAAGGAAGTCTTCGTTGTAAAGAATCACCCAGTAAATGACTTAAGAGGTCGAGGAGTGATCTTGCTCTAACCCTTGTAACTCTGACAACTATTAGAGTAGGAAAAAATAAATTAAAAAAAACCCTCATCAACTAATTTAGCTTCCAGTGTAGCATCTGTAGGACCTTGGAGAAGTCATCCTAATGGCGGTTATCCAAAATACTCTTCATAACCTGGCAGCGAAGTTTGCTTCTTTCATGGGGGGTGTTAAAGGATCAAGGTACTGATCTACAGGTTTATTTTTTTAACAAGCTGCCAAGTGGTACAGAAATATTGGTTATTATTTTGTATTTATTTGTTTATTTTCATGGCAGTACGCATGTACTGGGGCTTGAACTCAGGACTTGGACACTGTCCCTTAGCTTTTTCACTCAAGGCTGATGCTCAAGCCATTTGAGTCACAGCTTTACTTCTGGATTTTTGATGGTTAACTGATGCGAAGAGTCTCACACTCCTTCCTGCCTGGTCTGGCTTTGAAGCCCCATTCTCAGATCTCAGTTTCCTGAGTAGCTGGGATGACAGGCATGAGCCACTGACATCCTAGTGGGGTTTCATTAATCCCAGCATTGAACACGTCCGGTTACCACTCTCTCCTTTCTCTCTTCTTCGTTTTCTCAGTCCCTCATTTTAATTCCGCCTTCTGTCCCAGAAGTGACTCGAACCACGTACGTTTATCTTTTTTTTTTATTTTGTTTTTAATTCTCATCTATTTTCTAAGGACTTTAATGATGGACTCTCCCAGCTCTGTGATCATTTACTTTTATTTTGTTTACTGCTTTATCTTCTGGGGTCAGGTTAACTTAACCTAACCCTTCAATATCTAAAATCCTGTATATATAGAAAACATATAGACAAAATCCTGGATTTCTGAGAAAATCTCTCTCTCCACCCCACGACATGGACTCCATCCGATTACCTGTGTTTGGTTTCTCTCCTCTGAGTCTCGGCGTGGCAGGCTGGCAAAGGCCAAAGCCTGGCGCTGCCTCTTGTGATTCTTTCTAATTGACCTTCCATGCGCGTTCCCCTGCAATTTTGGGCCGTTTGAAGTAGAGGCACATGCGGTGCTGCATAATCATGGAACGCAATGATTTCAAGGAACAGGTGATGAGCGTTGCGTACGTGCGTAGTTCAAATCCACTGGCAAACTGCTTGGGCCTCGGTTGTATGATGTAGCAGCCAAGCCAGGCTCTTCTGCGGGCAACTCTGAAACAGGACATGCTCCTTTCCCTGTGCCTCTTCAGTACTTCCTCTGTCTTCTTCCTGCCCCTTTGAACACCCTTTTCCTTTCCCCCTATTCCCCTAAATAACTCATCGGGGCTATGGGGCCCCCGTAGGAAGACGTTTTATGGGTTTCCCTGAGCTGCCGCTCACCAAGAGGAGGTATGCAAAGGAATAAATCTTCAATGGTATAATTTTAGATGCGGTGGCAACTGGGAAGGGTAGCTATTTTGGGCTCTGGGGCATTCTCCTTGACCTGACGGGGTAGGGCTTTGCCTGGCACGGGTGTACCAGGTCCCTTTAGCAAATGTGTTTGGCATTCCTGAGGTGGCCTCCTCCTTCTCTGTTGGAGCAGTCCCATGTGCATCCAGAATGCTGGCTCTTTGTGTGTGAGCGCTCACACACAGAGGGCTGCGGCTGTCTGTCCAGCACACTGATGTAGTGTCCAAGGTACTTGTGGAGGGGCAGTGTGGATGGGATGGTCTCCCTTCCGCAGGGGGGAGGGGGAGAGTGGAGGGACATTGCAAGTCCGGTTTGTACCAGTTCTATGCTTTATCAGCTGCTCAGCTGCCTTTCCCACTGTAAGCCAGGCAGGGGTCCAAGCCGCAGTGTCTGAGCCTTCCCACCTACACGGCCTCCTTGGAGGCTGTGTGCTCTCCCGGGGCCTCGCTTGACCACCCTGCAGGTCGATCCTGCCGCAGCTGCTGTCTGCTGACCCTCGCTGCTGACGGCCAGGGGTGGGCTGGAACTCCCGGAGCACACGGGTAGAACCACCAGGAGAAGGTCCCCGGGTGGCCAACAATAACAGCCCTTTCCAGATGAGGATGGAACGAGAGCCAAGATCATCACTGTATCTTGTTCCTCGTTTTACAACCTGAAAAGTACACACAAGATGCGAAGATCATACAGGAAGGAGGCATGGAGTCAGCGAAGAACAAGGAAATGAGCTTCGGTTTTTATTTTCTTAAAGGAATTGAAGGGTTTTTTTTCTTTTTGTTTTTTTCATGTCCAAACAGAAGCCTTTTATAGGCATGGAAAAGGCAAGAGAGAGAGAGAGAGAGAGAAAGAGAGAGAGAGAGAGAGAGAGAGAGAGAGAGAGAGAGAGAGAGAGAGAGAGAGAGAGAGGGGGGGGGGGGGGGGAGGGAGAGACAGGGGGAGGGATGGGGGGAGGGAGAGAGAAAAGAGAGAGAATATTAAGACATAAGGAAATTCTGACTGAGGGACAGAAAATCATGGAGAAGACCAAAAGAAGAAGAAAAAGATCAAGAGACAACATGGCCTTCCCTTAGCTAAATGATTGAAATGGATTTAATAGATATTTATTGAGAAACGAATCTGTCTGGTTTTGTTATCTTTCTGCATGACAGTTCACCGTAAAATCGATTAACTTAAAGCCACAGCCATCATTTTTATCCTGCACTGACAGGGCTCTGAGTGCTGATTGGGCCATTCCTGTGGATGAGGTCTATGGGGAGCTGAGGCTGGCATCTCTCTGGCTTTCCTCTTTCACATAGCTGGTGAGACTGCTCACGGCTGCACCTCCAGCTGGAACAGCCTGGTAGAGCAGCAGAATGGCGTTGGGCTCTGTGATCTGTATCTCTCATCCCTTGCTTCGCTATAGCTGCTCAAGGCTCCAAAATGGAACCCTCTTCTCGGCTGAGCTAAATCACCAGTATGAGTCCCTGAGTCCCTACGGTCATGTCAGAGTCCAGAGAACGGTACACAACAAACATTCTAGATAGACAGAGACATCATTAATATCTTGATGGTCTGTGTGTGTCCCTGTCAACTGGTTTCCCTCCATAGGAATGCCTTTCATAGATAAAATAAGCATATCATCACTCCTACAGGCGTTTCTTGATTCAAAGACCGTCAAAGAACTTGTAGCAGCTAAGCGTTGTGGCGCATGCCTGGGATCTTCCCAATTCAGGAGTAGATAGGAGGATCGCAGTCGAAGGCTTACCCGGAGCAACAAGTGTGCGATCCCGTCTGAAAAATAACAGAAGCGCGGAGGGGCTGGGAACATAACTCAGGTGGTACAGCCAGCACATCTCCAAAGTTGTAAGATATCCAACCGTCACACACCAGTACCTCCCAGCTCCCGACCTCCAGGAATTTCTGTTTAGTTCCACGAAGGGGCTGGGGTGTAACTCAGTGCTCGGGTACCTGCCCGGAAGGCAAGTCATTCTGGAGTCGGTCCCTCAGAGTGCCCTCCCCCCCCCACACGAGTCTACTGAGCATTCAATCAAACATCCATTACTTTCCATCCGCCATAGGAGTGAGAAGATTGGTGAGTGGGTGTGTGCAAAGCCGGTATCAGGGACATTGCCAGAGTGGAGGGTACAGGCAGTGTCCCAGGATGACACGGAAAGCCAACAGGACAGCGTGGCTCCTGTTCTCTAACTCTGGAGTGGGTTCTAGTGCCAGCTTTGCTCAAGCCGGTGCATTTGGTCCCAATAATGTATCTGCTAAGGGGCTTGTGTCCTCTTCCTCTATCTCACCCTCCTTTTAGTTCATCATCATTCTGCTAGAGCTCTCGAAGGAATCATCCCTTCCAGGACCACGGCCACAACTTCATCCTTCCTGGATGTAAAGAAGCCTCACTTTCCACCCCGTCTTTTGCCTGACTTCCTGGCTTCTTCTCTGGCATCTTCCATACCAATGAACTCCCCTCTGCCCCTTTTAATCTCCTTCAGTTGACTGCTCAAGGTAAGGAATTTTCATTTTGCTTTCCTCTCTTAGGGCGCCTGTCTCCTGCCTTCTAAAATCAGGTCTCATTTTCTCGTGACTCATGCCTTTCTTTTCTTTCTTTTGGAGCTCTCTTTTCCTAGGAGCCGCTTGCTTAGCACAGAGTCGAATCATGTCCAGCCTCCATGGCAAAGAACTTTGACCTCCTGCTGGGGCAGACTTGCTCCAGTCTAAGTGCGGGTTTGCTGCTTAGTTGCTCTTCTTTCTTTGGTAAGCATTTTGTACCTGCCGTCATCACTAAAAATACCTTTCTCTTCGTCTGAGCCTTTCGTCTCCAAATACCACCCACCGTGGAATTCACTTTATAATCCTCAGGTAAGCCGCGTTTTTCTCTTTGTACAAAGTGATGCGTCTCCGCTACAGAAAAAAAAAAATTGGAACACAGAGACCATCCAAAATAACACACATATTATAGATAGAAATGCCATTGACACCTTGATGTTCATTCCTCTCAACTTTTCCCCCTGTCCATATTTATAAAATTTATGGATTAAAAAAAAATCACTACTTAGATGGTCAGTATTTTCCTCTAAGCCACTTGCTGTGCTACAGAAGGAGTTTTTTGTTTTGTTTTTTTTTTTGTTTTTTTTTGGGGGGGGGTCCGGTCGTGGGGCCTGAACTCTGGGCCTGGGCGCTGTCCCTCAGCTCTTCAACTCAAGGCTAGCACTCTACCACTTGAGCCACAGCGCCACTTCCGGCTTTTTTCTTTTTGCTTATGTGGTGCTGAGGAATCGAACCCAGGGCCTCTGGCATGCAAGGCAAGCGCTCTACCACTGAGCCACCTTCCCAGCCCCCAGAAGGAGTTTTACACAACTCTAGTCCCTTGCTTCAAGTTACCTAGAATGGGGCTAGGACATCTGGTCAGAGTTGGGTTAGTACCTGCTCTTTAGTTGTTGTTGTTGGTGGTGGTCATGGGATTGGAACTCAGGGCCTGGACACCATACCTGAGCCTTTTCATTCAAGGCTAGTACTCTACCAGTCTGAGCCACAGCTCTACTTCTGGTTTTTCTGGTGGTTCATTGGAGATCAGTGTGTCACAAACTCTCTTGCCCTGGCTGGCTTTGAACCATGAGCCTCAGATCTCAGCCTCCTGAGTAGCTAGGATGACAGGTGAAAGCCACCAGCACCTGGCTCTTGTTCTTTCCTTGAGTTTAAACTAGTATCTTGGGCTGGACATGTGCAGGGGATGGTAATCATATGGAGGGGGAACTAGTAATTGTACTGAGAAACATCAAGCTTTCCTGGAGAAGTGTTTTATAAGAGGTACATGGAGAACAGGATGAGTTGCAGAAGAGCAGGTGGACATGGGAAGTTCTAGCCCAGGAGTTTCCTCTTCCTCCTTTGCTTTCTTAATTTGTGCCTCTTTCTCAGGCTTTGCTTGTGCCCTGTCCCTAGATAGCTGTGTGCATCTGATCACATCTAGTGATCTTGGGTTCCTTAAGGTCAAGAGGAACTATGCTGCATTTGCACATATATACATATATATGTGTATGTACACACACACACACACACACACACACACACACACACACATATAATTTTTTTCGCCTTGCTGAGCAAAACACTTTTGGTAAATAAAGAATCTTCCCCCACCTCTTTCAGATCATTCCCCCTTGTATGCAATTCAGAAGTTAGTAGCAAGTTAAATACTTTAGCTTTCAGAACACAAAACTAATTTTTCCTAACACAGCCTACTTAAAACTACTCTACAAGGCAAAGTATGACTAGGAAATGCTTTAACCACAGCCAACCCTTTAAAAGTCAATGTCACATTCATTGCTATGAAATCTCTCTCTCTTTTTCTCTCTCTCCCTGTTAGACATCTGGTTCCCATTATTGCAGCATTGGGTACTTGAACTTACCCGCCATTTTGCATACCAACTGGAATGCACACAAAATCACCACCGACACCATCAGTGCCTAGACAAACCTTTGATCAACTCCTTTAATGCTTACTGATATGCTTTGTGTGTGTGTGTGTGTGCGCGTGCACATGTGCGTACACACGCACTTGCACAAGTGCACCAGCCCTGGGGCTTGCACTCAGGCTTAGGTGTTGTCGTTAAGCTTTTTAATTTTTTTGCCCAAGGCTAGTGCTCTACCACTTGAGCCACAACTCCACTTCCAGCTTTTTGGTGGTTAAGTAGAGATAAGAGTCTCTTAGCCAAGTGCCCATACTTCATACCTGTAATCCTAGCTACTCAGGAAGCTGAGATCTGAGGCAGCAAGGGAAGGAAAGCCCTTGAGACTCTTCTCTCCAATTAATCAGAGAAAAAGCCGGAAGTGGTGCTGTGGCTCAAGTGATAGAGTACCTAGCCTTGAGCAAAAGAATCTCAGGCATAGTGCCCAGGCCCTGAATTCAAGCTCCAGGACCTGCAAAAAAAAAAAAAAAAGTTACATAGACTCTCTGACCCAGGCTGACTTGGAACCATGGTCTTACTATCTCAGCCTCCTGAGTGGTCAGGATTACAGGAAGAGCCACTAGTACAGGGCACTGTTACATATTTGAAACTATTTTTTTCATACTTATCTTAAGGACTAAGTGGCCATCTTCTGTGAAATGAAGAACTTCAAAACCTTAAAGTCAGCCAGGCACCCGTAACTCATGCCTGTAATCCTAGCTACTCAGGAGGCTGAGATCTGAGAATTGCTGTTCTAAGCCAGGAAAGTCCATGAGACTTTTATCTCTAATTATCCACCAGAAAACCAGAAGTAGTGCTGTGGCTCAAAGTGGTAGAATGCTGGCCTTGAGCAAAAAGAGCTCAGGGACAGCACCCAGGCCCCAAGTTCAAGCCCCACAACTGACAACAAACAAACAAACAAAACCTTAAAAGTCTTTGCCTTTTGTCCTGGTCTGGCCCATGGAGCACCCAAGGCAACAAAATATCTAAATCTTAAGTCTATATTTCCTAGTGACATTGACCCAGAAATGAGAAACACAGTACGGAATGTTTGCTAATGAGTCATGAGTTTCATTGTAATTGCTTCCACATTCCGGATAGCTTCTATAAACCATCTAATCTGGACATACCTCACAACAATCCCATGTGTTGTAAATGATTTTGTTTTATTTCTTGGGTTACTGTTAAGGGCTTATTTTCTGGTTCATTTCATTTTCTTAAAGAAAACCACACAGTTGTGTTTGTATATGCCCCCCTCCCCATATACATACACACTCATTTGGGCACACCCATACTACTGTAGCTTTGGCCTCCATCTGTACATTTTTTAAGATAAAATAATCATGAAACAACAAAAAAAAAGAGAGAGAATCTCTCATCATTTGACTTGGAAATGAAATTAAACACAATAATGAACAAAGTTGAAATGGGATCTATTTCAGAGTCGATCTAATTCAGCTCTCCGAAATGAAATCCAGCAAACACCAATCTATTTTCTTTCCCGGACCTCAGATTCTATAACGGAACAGACAGATACAGCCAGCATTCGGCACAGTAATAACGGAAAAATTAAATATGACTTTTAAAAACTGCTCACATTATAAAGTGATCTATTAGCATCCCACAACTTTAGCACTTAATGTGACTGATTCTAATTGCACGATTTGTCCCATAGCTAGTACTAAAGAACTGAAAGATTGTGCAGGAATTTTTTTTTTTTATCTCTTTGGGGGATAGTTAAAAATGGGTTTTCTTTGGAATGAACCTTTTATTTCTGCTGGGCAGAAGATTGTGCCAATGAACCTCTCTCCGTTCAGAGAGAACTAGAGGCAAAGATAGATTCCTCTTTGATTCAGTGCACCACTAGAGCAAAGAGTAAAATCATTTTTGCCCATCTCTTCTCTCTCCTTTACTGTCTGCCCTGTCCTGTCTTTATAGCTTGGGGATATTTTCCTGAAGAAGTCGAGCTGGATGCCTTTCCCTAATGAGTCTTCTGAGTGAACAGAGAGGCACTGTCTTCCTGCACCTGGCTACGCACCCCTTCAGAATCTTCTAGAAACGACGATGAGTCTCTTAACACAAAGCTGAAGCTGCTTTACGTAAGTCCGCACAACTCTGGAAGTTCTGATATAGATGCTTGTCTCACATGTGCACCCTAAAGAGTTTTCAAGCTCTAAAGAAAAGGCAGGGTGGGGCGAGGTAAGAGGAGGAAGGCAAGGTAGCTTGGAGTACGGCTCCATGTTTACAGAGGTTTACTTCATGCTTCGTAACCCTTATCCTATTGACTACAGACAGCTTAAGAACTGAATAGTGGTGGAGGCTTCAAGGGAGCTCTTACCAGTTTAAGAAGTTCTGAGACATACTGGAATTTTGCCTTGAGCTATGATTTCTTGCTGGTAGTTCTCAGATACCCTGGATAATGGGAACAAGGCTCTTTTTTTTTCTTCTTCTTCTTCCGATTTTTGATATTTTTGTTATCATAACTAGCCAACTGCAGGAATCTCAAATGTGTAACATAAAACTCTGACCAAGTTCAGAGTGTATGAAATGTGATGACTATTGTTAGTGGGTCAAAAAAAAAAACAACACTGGGACTTCCCTGCACCCTTACGGATGTAGGATATCTTATTCTCTCTTTTTAAAGGACAGTGCTAGGTAGGGAGAAGTGTAAAGGCTTGGGAACTGTGATGATTTCAGTTGCTGGTCACTGCTTCTGGTCTTCCCAAGTCTAGAGGATTACCAGAGAGAGCAGAAAAGTCTGGGGTGACCCAGATTAGAAGAAAAGGAAAGGAGAAGATTATCGCTACTAGTAATTTGTTCCTGGAAGCATCATTTCGAGGACCTACGTGAATGACACAACGTAACGCCTTTCCCTTCGCTCTCCGAATACACTGACTGTCAACTTGACCATATAAAAAGAATACCCAGCAGGATCGAGACCCTGCTTTTCCTGTATGTAGTGTACTATGTGATGTGACTTAATCACATCCATATTTTCTTAGATATTCTAGACATATGGACAAAACAAATAGGTCTGTCTATCTGTCTATCTCTACTACATGAGTTTGTTTGGAAATTATAACTACTTGATTTTGTGGTGCTAAAGGGAGAATCTCTGGCCTTCGTTGGACATTCTAGGTATCTCGGTACATTTCATTTTAAATAATTTAAGACTCACAGGAAGTTGTAAAACATAATTTAGAGAGATCCCTTGTCCCTTTCCCCTCATCTCTCCAATGGATAGCACCTCATTTAACTGCACTGCATGACAAATCCTGGGAACTGATTTCAGAACTGTGAACGTGGTGAGAGAGTTATTCAGACGTTGCCAGTTTTAACATACACACTCCTTTCTAGGTGTGTTTTAATATATATATATATATATATATATATATATATATGCACATATATATGTATAAATGCATAAAACGTCCAGTTGTTCCTTGCAGCTCTAGGGATCTAATCTAGGGTCTTTTACATGTTGGGCAAGGATTTTTCACTCAGCTATAAGCCCATATTTGTGCTAGTCCTGGGGTTTGAACTCAGGGCCTGGGCGCTGTCCATGAGCTTTTTTTGCTCAAGGCTATTACTCTATCGCTTGAGCCACAGCTCCACTTCTGGCTTTTTGTGATTCATTGGAGATAAGAGTTTCACAGACTTTCCTACCCTGGCTGGCTTTGAACCTTGATCCTGGGATCACAGCCCCCTGAGTAGCTAGGATTAAAGGCGTGAACCACGGGCACCTGGTTCAGTACACTGACATTCTGTTCATGTACACTTTGTTTCCGTGGTACTGAGGAATTCGACCCAGGGCCTCAACGCAGGCTAGACAAGCACTCTACCACTAAGCCACACATCCTGCCTTCTAAGGAAACATCTTATACCAAAGTGGTGAGTGAGATCAGGCTGTTTTTGAGAGTCCAGACTTTTAAGAAGCAGTGTCAACCCTGTGAGGCCTGGGGGGCGGGGGGGGGGGGGTTGAGTGACAGGTCTTCATCAGGACTGGGGCTGTACGTTTGTGATGCCAGAACCCGTCATGGGGCCCAGACAGCGTTTCAAGATGTGGAGAACGAGCACTCACGTCAGAGCTTTAGGACCAAGCTCTTACTCCATTTCTTAAGACCCAACACAGGATCTTTGTTTTAGCGTCTTCATTTTAGCAGGTGGCTCATTCCTACAAGCTTTTGATTTCATACTTCGTACCAGATTTTCTCATTCGACATGGACAGGCCTGATGGTAGACTTTCCCAGGACTTGGGTAGAGGGGAGAGAGAGAGAGAGAGAGAGAGAGAGAGAGAGAGAGAGAGAGAGAGAGAGAGAGAGAGCGCTCAAGTGAGCACATCTGCTCCCGTAGGACAGGGCACATGTCACCCGTGTGGTTGGTGGCTGGTGTTGGAAGAAGGTAAGCCTCTTTCGTGAGAGGTGGAGCACCTCCTGACTGAAAGCAGGAGGATGCCCTCATCCTGCAGGCTGCCCTGGCTCTGACCCTGTGCCTTTCCTGCCTAGGGCTCTCAGCTGCTTTGCTTTGTAGTTAAGGTGGCATCCCAAATCTCCACCCGAAGGGTGAGGTCTGTAAGCTCCTCTCTCGGATGTGGCTTTGAACAATTACGTTCTTGCCTGGGCCTCCGCACATCCCATTCTACCTCCAAGGCCCCGGAGGTGAGGGCAATCATGCTGGCCTATGTAATCTTCTCTGACTCGCAAGGTGACCCCTGGACCTTTGTATATGCTCTTTGCAGAAATGCTTCTCCCTTCTGGACAACTTCACCTATATCCGCATTCTTCAGGCGTCTATTGCAGGATATTCTGTATTCTAGCATGGATCGGTATCAGGTCTCACCACCAGTCCCACTCCATCCTTAATCTGTGTGCATATTTTTTATCTGGTACGATTATAAGATAATCGTCTCTTCTTTTAAGCCCTTATTTCAACAAAGGCAGGGGTGATGCCCACTTTATGACCATCTCCTCAGGGCTCCATATTTGTTGAATGAATTATCGAGTGAATTAATGAAAACATCCTAACTCATGCCTTCATTTTTCCTACAGATTGAGGCAAATGCTACATGTGAGATTTGGAAGTATTTATATCGTATACTGAGTTCATGAGTTTGGGGCTAATTTTTTGTTCTTTTTTTTTTTTCATCCTGTTACAAGTCTAGGCTGCTATTGTTTCTCTTAGGAAATCATATATCATTTTATGATTTTTACCATTTTTGGTTTGCTTTATTGTTTTCTGCTTTGTTACAATTGTCTTTAGTACAGTGAGTACAGTGAGTATCTTCAGCACAATTCTTTAGGACAATGATTCTTTAGTGTAATGATCCAGCAAGGAATCATCCATATGCCAGGCCCCTGATTCTGGTTGAAGTGGTACTCATTCTTTTTTTTTTTTAACTTGGTGCCAGTCCTGGGGTTTGAACTCAGGGCCTGGGAGCTGTCCCTGAGCTTTTTACACTCCGGGCTAGCACTCTACCACTTGAGCCACAGCTCCACTTTTGGTGACTTTTTAGTGGTTCACATCCCATGCCCAGGCTGGCTCTGAGGTGCGATCCTCAGATCTCAGCCTCCTGAGTAGCTAGGATCACAGGCGTGAGCCAACGAAGCTCATTTCTTGACAAAGAACAAACACAGCCTTCCTTTGCTGAGATTTCTGAAAATGGCTTTTTGGCACTCAGGGGTTTCTCAGTTGTGGACCCTAGCTCGACAGACAGGTCCAGCACCCCTGAACAGAACGCTCATGTCCACTGGTGTCCAGGTACAAATCCTATCTGGCTAGGCAAATCACTAGCTTCCATAGGGGAGAGGCTGTTATCAAGGGAAAGAAAGCTCATCTGTGGAGATAAAGCCACAGGAATGTGGGATAAAGGGACGGAAGTCAAGAAACATCTCTGAAGAAAAAGGATCCTTTGGTTGACTCTACTGGGCCAGGAAATAATGTCACATGCACTTAGGGTGGGGTTGAGGACATGGCCTGCGTGGCAGAAACATTGGGTAAAAAGACTCAACCAAATGCCTGGATTTTCAAACGCCTGTGTCTTGAAACAGGCCATGAATAGAAAATGAAAGCCAACAAGACCAAAACAGAAAGGCCACCTTTGTAACTTAACACTTGAAGCATCTGAAGAATGGCTTCAATTCTGTAGCATCGGATGTAGCCAATACATATCTGTCATATCAGAGGGATTATGTATCTTAAATTTGGGTAAAGGACTAACATTGCAGTGTAAATTCTATAATTTCTAGTTTTTTTTTTAAATCATGTGTGTGTGCATGCACATGTCCACAAACTTGCATGCTTCATATTTTTAAATTCCATTTTCTGAGCTGGAGACATGTTTCAAGTGATAAGAGTATCTCTCCAGCCCTGAGTTCAAAACTAAGTAGTACAGAAAACAACCCAAGAACCAAAAGGCAAAGCTCACTTGTTAATCTTGCCCAGGCAAAGCAAGTGTACACCAAGACCATGGGACTAGTTGTTTTTTTCAGACTTGGGATTTGTACCCTTGAGGATAAGGCTTAATTTTTGCCTTCAGTAATATGTGATTTTTTTTTTTTTTTGGAGAAGTCATATCAGCTTTCTGGGTGATCAGTTATCCACCTCTACTTTGAAAGTCATAATAAAATCATTCCGCTTACGAATTTCATAACACTGCTTATATGGAAAAAACTCCATGTTATCATGAAAATGAGGCACTCATAGTAGTATAGACTAAGTAATTGACGTCTAATAGGTGTCGCTATTTCTGGGTAAAATGTGAAGCTTTGAAACTTGCATGTAGTACGTGCTGTTCAAATCAGGGCAATTCACTCATCAACTTAAGCATCGATCAGTTTCCTTCCAACCATCTTGAAATAGCCAGTTGGTTGTTGTTACTTGTAATTATCCCACAGTGTAACACAGCCTGATAGCTCACCTCTCCTCTCTGTAGTAACTTTGTACCCCTTGACGAAACTCTTCCCATTTCTATTCTTTCTGTCTCTGGCCTCTGGAAAATTCTAGAGTCTCTACTAAGATTAAGATTTTTTTTTTTTGAAACTATCACATAGAACAAGTATGCCTGGAAAAAAAAGTGACAGGCGATGAAAACTACTGTCA